TAGCCTACGTGGCCTACAGAGCTGAGCTGTCCCTCGACTTCCACATCATGGGCAATGTGGTATATGCTATCGTCACACCAATCCTCAACCCTCTCATCTACACACGGAGGAACAAGGATGTCAAAGCAGCCATCACCAAAATCACACGTCCCCAGGGCCGAGGGTGTTCTGGTGGACCTTGATCCTAGACATTGCTAATTCATCTCCCAGGATACTAGTTTGCTAACAACAGACAACACCACATCAAAAAGTTTCTTAAAGGATGAATGACTTATAGCATAGCCCAAAATATACCATTGGGACTTACATAGCCATAACTATAGGCTAGGTTATAAAATCAACTCTTTTTTGGAAAGAAATAAAAATATCAGATAAAGTATTTTTTTAAATCTTAAAATTTTCAGAAAATTTTCAATATAACAAGGCTAACATGGTAATAAAGATGAGAGTACAGAGAGGTAAATTATTAAAACATGGATAGATACATAGACCGATGAAACAATACACAGCCCAGAAACAAACCCATAAATATACAGATAATTGGTATATAAAGGAAATAACACTACGGATCAGTATGAAAGATGGATATATAATAAATGGTATTGGAATTATCTGGTATCTGCATGCCAAAAAAATGGAATTTGTCCCTTACCTCAGGGAAACACAAAGTCAATCTCATTGAAGATCTATATATAAAACACAAGACTATAAAACTCTACAGGAGACTACAGTCCTGATCTTGGGATGGGGAAATACTATTTAAATAAGATATAAAATCTCTAAACCTAACTTTAAAAGTGGATAATGCTGACTTCTTTAAAATGCGGGGTCTCTGTTCTCAAAAGACACTAAAAAGAGAGTGAAAGATAAGCTACAGAATGAGAGAAGTTATTTGCAGTGTGTGTAACAAACTAACGGACTCAGAATTCATAGCCAGAATATATAGTTACTTCCAATCAAGGAAAAGGTAATTAAGCCATTAGAAACATGAGCAAAATATTTCACAAGAGAAAATATACAAACGTCCAATAAATATAAGAAAAAATATTCAACCTCTTTAGAAGTGCAAGTTACAACAAAGAGATACCACTAGAAACTGATAGGCTAAAATGGAAACACCTGACAACACCAAGGTGGGTGAGGATGTGGGTCAACGGGAGCTCTCCTACATTGGCAGTGGGAGTGTTAATGGGTACAGCCACTTTGGAAAGCACTTCATCACTATATTATAAGGTTGAAGACACATACTCTATGATTTAGCACAGTAGCATTTCTCTATTTTGTGAACTGTTCAGAAAATGTAACACTATACGCCAATAAAAAATGAAATTACATATACTCGCAGCAACATAGAGAAACCTCACAGAGTTTGAGCAAAAGCATCAGGACTCTAAAGGATATGTACAGTACGAGTCCAGTTATATCAAGTTTTAAAACAGGCAACACTAAACTACATTTTTATCAATGACACAGAGGTGGTAAACTGTGAAGAAAAAAGAATGTAATAATAATCAGAATCAGGGTTACTTCTGCAGGGGAGGGGGAGGATTGTAATGAGGAAGAGGCACCAGGAGCTTGTGAAATGGTGTCAGTGTTTCATTGTCTGCTGAGTGATGGTGACATGGGGGCTTGCTTTAAAATGAAACTGTATATCTAGGCTTTATATGCTTTTGTTCTGTATGAGTATTATGTTTCATAACAAACTACAAGGCATCATTCCATCCAGCCGAGGCTGCAACAGCAGTTCTCCGTGTTTTGGTTGGAGTCTTCCAATGGGTGCAATGGGTGGTCTTGGTCTTCACACTCACAGTAAGCATCGAGATGTTCAATATCATTTTCCCCATTAGTTCATTCATTTATGGAGCCTTTACTGAGTTTTGGGAGGTGCTTGACCATGCAGGGTAAAGAAGCTAGAGACACAGAGATAAATTGGGACAGTCACTGCCCTCAAGATGCTCACAGTCTACTGAGGGAGACAGACGAGGGCACACATAGCATAGCATGGCAGGTGCTGTTTCTGAGGGCAGAATGGGGAATGATAGGAGCACAGAGGTTGGTATTCGATCCAAGGAAAAATGTCTCCCGTGAATGTTTTTAACCAATGGCACCTGCGGCTGCTTGTTTGTGAGCCTCATGGAGCTAACAGTGGTGGATGTGGACTGATTAGACAGAAGCAGCCCTGAACTGCTCCTGTCAGAGAAGGAGAGGTTTCATTCTAGTGCTCTCCAGGATGTGGCATAGCTTGGACCACCCCCATCAAGAAATGGAGTTTATGGAAAATGGTACAGAGGTTCCTTAAACAATTACAGATAGATCTATCATATGACCCAGCTACTCCACTGCTGGGAATATACCCAGAGGAATGGAAATCATCATGCCAAAGGGATACCTGTACTCCAGTGTTTATTGCAGCTCTATATACAATAGCCAAGAGTTGGAACCAGCCCACATGTCCATCATCAGATGAGTGGATGAGGAAACTGTGGTATATCTACACAATGGAATACTACTCTGCTGTAAAAAAGAATGAAATACTACCATTCGCAACAACATGGATGGGCTTGGAGAAAATTATATTAAGTGAAACAAGTAAGGCACAGAGAGAGAAATACCACATGTTCTCATTTATTTGTGGGAGCTTAAAATAAATAAATAAATAAACATGCAAACAAACAAAGGGTGTGGGGGGGAAGAAGACACAACTATTACAATTCCTTGAACTTTTTAAGACAAGTGAACAGATATGATGTGGGGAGGGAGAGGAGAAAGAGAGGGGAGAAGAGGAATGGGTAAAGGGTCATGAAAATCAACTACAACGTATATTGAGAAGTTAAAATTAAAAAAAAAAAAAAGAAAGAAATGGAGTTTACACTCAGTTAAACCCAAAGGACTTTACCCCTCAGTCCCCTTCAGGAATCACACAGGTCAAAAAGGAGTCAGATGAGAGCAGGGACAGGCTGAACTGCAGTGCCCCCCCACAAAAGGCAGAAAGGAAAACCAGTCTCAGAAAAGTGAACAGAGCAGGCAGTGGCATTTTTCTGGCATATGTTAAAGGGAAGAAAACATCCCTTAACAAATTGTGAGAAAGATGCGCACTGAAACGGGACTCTGAGCAAGGGCGTTAGCAGAGAGTGAGAATTTCAGCAAATGGTACTGAGGGCCTTCATGCATGATTTCTAAAGTCACAATTATAACAATTTTAAGTCAAAATTATGGAACAAGGCATTTTTAGTGAATTTCCATCTCCATTCCTGCTCCCTCCACCTGTTTCATCCCCTTTAAAGAGACCATTTTTAGTCATTAAAATTTTTTTCTTTCCATTTTTAATATAAGTAGATTCATGTCTGTTTACACATGTCTGTATATATGTATAATTTATAAATATGGCTGATTATACATAAATATGGCTATGGAGCCATATTTCTACTCTTTCTTTGAGAAATGGTGTCATACTTAATATTGTTGTACATCTTGATTTTTAAAATTTAATCAGCAGTTTAAGATGGGAAAAATAACAACATATTTGCATACTGATGGGAATGATTCAGTAGAGAGCAAAAATTGGTGATGGAAGAGCAAAGGGAGAATTGTGGGGGTGACTGGCTTTAGACGGGGGCATGAAAATCTCATCCATGGTAACGGGCAGAAAGGCAGAGTGCAGGGTGCAGAGGCTGGTGGGGGTGGATGTGGAGTGACAATCTGTGGGATTCCCTCCGATTGCTGGAGTGACAATGGGAAGGGGTACTGGCAGATTGAGCAGGGAGAAGAAGGTGTGAAAAGGTCTAGAAGAGGAGACAGAGCAGGGCGAAGAGAGCAAGGACGTCTAGGAAGAATGCCCGGTAGCACTGAGGGCCCGTTGAGTTGATCTGTTCTCTGAGGAGGACTCTTACATTAAACTCGGATGAGGCACAGTCACATCAGGAAAACACTTCCTTAAAATTGATCTCGTCATTACCTCTGAGTGCAGTCATCCTGAGCCACAGTATGTTTGATTAATGGTCCTAATTTTACTGATTCTCTCCAATGGAAATTTTTTTTTTAACCAATCATTGGGATAATTACATAAGCTAACTTGTTTTCCAAGCAGCAATGATCTGAATTTTTTACCTAATCATTTATCTATCCCCACAAGTGGCTACCTAAACTTCTTGGCAAGAAAATAAAAACCGTCAGCTAAATGACATTAGGTGCCATTTGTATATAAAGTACACATATCATGAACCTACTGTATGCTGTATTTTACATCTCAATGTGGTTGGGAGGGGGAGGAAGAAGAAAGATAAAAAGATGGATTCTAAGATCTCAAAAGTTAGTTTAAAACACTTCTAAACTCGGTTAAAATGTTGAGCTCTAAAACTGACTTCAGTTATCACTTACATATAGTAAAACTACTTATATAGTCATTTTGCCATCATGAGACTAGTATTCCATTACAAGAATGATATTTATAGTCATACCATTTCTTCTGCATTAATTTGATATATTCTTGATGATAAATAAAATACTTAGACTAAATTCTTATTTTGTGCTTTCTGTTTATATTTCAAATAGCATGGTTCAATTTAATTTCTTTTATCTTCCCTTTATGTTTTCTTCAAAATATACTCTCAGAATTGTCCATCCTTGGGCCGGCCCAGTGGTGCACTGCTACAGTGCGCCGCTTGGGAGCGCGGCGGCGCTCCCGCCAAGGGTTCGGATCCCACATACAGACCGGTTCCCGCTCACTGGCTGAGCGAGGTGTGGGCGCAACACCGAGGGTTGCGATCCTGTTGCCGGTCCCGGTCCGGTACGGGCA